ATATATATGTATAATTTTATTTTACATACTACTGAATGTGGGACGCATTGACCAATGGTTGTGAAAGTCAATGTTAGGATAATCTCAGTACAGAAAGGTGATCTTAGGTGCTGGAGAGCAATAGCAGAGCTGGACGTGGCCACCATTATTGATTCCAACCTCTTCATTTGAAAACAACAGAACCAGGAAGGCTGTGAGTTGCTTCTCCAACACTTAGACCCCATGCATGTGGGAAAGGGGGGCCGAGTGATTTCATTCTTTCACCAAGGCAGAGCCTAGGGTAAGTCTTTTCAAGATGAGCTGTTTCCCCTTAAGAATGCTCTCCAAGGGCCAGGGGAACTTGCCTATATTATGGAGGCAGAAACAAAGGAATCAAATTGTTTCTAGCCTTCACCCCACAAACTGCAAGGCTGCAGGAGTGAGGTCCATCAGTGTGTGTTATCGCATTTAGTCCTGGCTGGAACACTATCACAGATAAACCTTAATTCTGGTTCCTGCTCCTTGGAGCTGCAAAAGTTTGCTGGATCCCTTGTGCTGAATTCTTGGTGGTAATAGTCTTTCCCCCTGCTGGAAAGTGTCAGTGTTCTGTGTATGGACAAGGCTATTCACATCTATAAATTGATTGTAGGAGTCAAGTGAGAACCCTCTTAAAGTGACAAAGTCAAATTAACTTACAACACACAGAGAGAGTATAGTAACTGGAAAAAATATGAAGACAATCTTGCTAAACCCTCTGAGTCCCTGATCCACTTCACTAAGGAAAAAGCCTCTGACAGGAATAGCAGAACTTTCCAAAATATATATTACTTAATAAATTTAGATTTCCTTCCCCTTCCACTCCAGTAACTAAATGTAATATTAAAATCTGAATAATGCTTTCTGGGCTTCACATATCTTACATAACTTAATTCTCAATGAGACTATGGGAATTAGTTACTGTAATAGCTACTGTGATCTCCACGCATATCTCCTTGTCAGGACCCATTACCCATTCAGCATCTGCAGGTGAAGATTAGCTCTGACGGTTCACACTGCCTTCCTCTGGAGAAATTGCCCTTGGCCTCAGGGAACTGCCACACCCAAGATTTTTGCTTCCTTCAAAGATGTAGCTTATGGCCACCTCCAAAGAGCATTTATGCTATTAATGTGACAAATACATTCTTTTTCTTGTCTATCAGAAAAGAGGTTCAGAAGCAGTTTTCACTCACCTGGGACTGACTGACAACAGGGTACATTTGCAGTCAGCTCTGGACTGTCTGGCCTTTCCACAGAATATTACATTGGTCCATTCTATTGATATAATGCTAATTGATCAAAGTGACCAAAACTGGTAATTTACATTGGAGACTTTGGTAAGCATGTGCTTCAGAAGGTGGAACATAGCCCTATAAGCACACTAAGGCCTGCCATGCTAGTAACGTTATTGGAGATTTGATGGTCCAGGTGTGCTAGGATATCCTCTCCAAAGTAAAGGACACATTGCATCTGGAGCCCTCCATTATTCAGAGAGAAACACATGCCTGTTAGGTCTCTTCAGGTCTGAAAGCAACATATTCCCACTTCGGAATACTGCTCTTAACCATGGTGAGGACCCAATGGACTCACTATGAGTCTGGCCTACATCAAAATTCCATGTGTTATCTGAACCCCATGTACCCTACTCTAATGGGTACATGATAAATTTGCATTCCAGAGTTTCAATGTCATCATGAACCTAATATCTAACAGTCTTGAAAGGTCTAAGTACTTCTCTTTCCCCAGCATACATTTACCTGAGTGAATTGTGATAGGTCCCTCTGGGGAGGACTGGCATAATCACTGCTCTATGTTGCCAGGGTGTTGCAGGATCCTTCCTCGTTGTGACCCACCACTCCTCCATGTAACAGCTTCTGGGTCTGAGAACAGTCTCACATCTAGAAGCTAAGTAAGGATGTTGACTATTTAGCATTGCATGGGGCAACTTTCTTCAGCCTCTTATCATCTATTCTTCATTTATTTGTTGCATAAAATAACTATTATTCTTGGTGGCTGCTCATCTATTTTGCCCGTAAGAAGACTGTGTCCTAGTAACCATTTGCATATCTCTCTGCAGGCCAGACCTCTCAATTACTGCTCAGACCTTGACACTCATGACAGTAATTGTGCCTACTTGACTATACTCTCTAAGTGCAGCCACCTCGACTCTATAACGGATCCTATTATGTCACTGCTATTGAAGAGCCCAGTTGTGTATTAACATCTCCTGCTCTCTTCCCTGGTCTACAGAAGGCAGAGTACCATTCAGCTTTCCAAGGATGTTTTGCCCAATTCTCCAGGGTGTTCCTTATTGCTTTGGTAACTATAGCATCTTTGAACTCTCTGGAACACAGTTGGCAAGTGAGTTTTCTGGACTTCCTCTAGCATGCTCAGTACTCTGGACTTTTTGATTCCTCCTCCCACTGTGTGCCATGGAAGTTCTAGCACTTCAACTTAGCATGGGCCTTAGCTTTCTGCAAGCTTCTAGGTGCATCCCATTAGCATATTTGCATCATATCCTAATGACTCTTACCAGGGCATTCAATGTTATATGCCCCTATCTATAAATTCTCCATAAAGTTGGAAAACAATGTTCTGCCCCTCAGGTCCCTGTCCCATATGGATGCTCTCTCTTTACTCTTGCCAATGAAATCCTTAGTTCCTTCAAGCTCTTTCCTCCCTTAGCAGGCCCAGCACTTCCCAGGCAGGGTTATGTATCACTTAATCTTAGTTATTTGGCCGAAGAGGGCTATGAAGGGATGTGGGAGTAGGTTGCAAGATAAACGTCTCTGGACAGTCTTTAAGCAAATGTGGAGCACTGGTCTTTAATTAGGGGAAGTGAATCACTTCTGCAACCTGAGAGCATTCTAAGCAGCCTGAGGACTCAATTTTTAATTGCATCAAGTTAGATGGGCCAACCCAGGTATTGAGGTCTTACTTCTTCCCACTCAGGTTCCTTACCTTGACCTTAGCACACCAAACCTACCAGGGCTAAGAGGCCATCCCTCTCTGGAATGTTGCTATCCTTAGGCATTGAATAAAAGGACTTCATGAGAGAGGAAGCATACTGTGGGTAAGGCAAGCTCCCTTTGGTAGAGATCACTCCCAGAAAGGAAATCAGCTTTGAGAAATCAGCAACCTATTTCTAGCAACTAGGAGCAGGGGTACTTCATTCCTAAGAAGGCAACCTGAACTATGTATCAGAGCATCTTTTACAGTAACCCTGGGTATATATACATCTCAGGGATAAGTCATCCCTGAGTCATACCACCAACCAGTCAACCTAATCCAACAGAGGCGCCAGCCAAGCCTGAGAATAATCTAGAGTGTGCAGAGGAGGAAGGGGTTGGTGAGTGTCAGTTATGGCCTTGAGATCAGCTGCACCAGGATAAGCTGTAGTGTGAGCCAGTCAGTGACACTTCCTTTGTAAGTTTCTCCAGGAATGAGACTAATGAGGATCCTGTAGAAGATGTCTCTTCATAGGTAAACTTACTATATGAAGCAAATGGGCTTGACTCAATTAAGAGTGTAGTATAGACAATGTTGTCTAGATCTCCTTTTGGGGGCCAAACTGCCTGTTCCCAGAACTGGGTTCATTAGCTGCTAATAGTTCATAGCTATGCCCCTCACTGATAATTCTCTTCCATCAAGGGATCTGCTTTGCCCAAGGTATGCTCTTTTCTAAGGGGTGTCCTTCAGGCAAGGACTGGCTGATATAAGGATATAAAGACTTGTTCCCTTGCCTTAACAAGAGAACACAGAAGTCCAGGCTCCCCTGACCTGCTTTACCTGAGTTCTCTGTAGGATCAGCTGAGACCTTAGTTGCAGCCACATTGCAGGTAGATTCTCTTTCTGCCCAATACTGGCATTTTCACTTCCTAAAAGACATACATCCCAAGTGTTACTTTCCAATAAACGTTTGGCATTCAACTGTCCATTTCATAAGTTGTTTCCAAGGAACCCAATCTAAAGAGTTATTATTATCCTTCTCATTTATACTTAGGGAAAGTGTACTTTTCTAGATGTTTAGACATTTTCATTATAAAATATTAAACTTAAAATATAATAAAATTAATAAAATTTAAAATATATCTACTTTGCCATGTAAATGAGTATAAAATTGTACATATGAGATACCAAATAAAGTTGAAAGCGAGGTATATAGGAGGTGTTCAGTAAGAGCTATGTAATATTATTCCCCAATTACGAACTTTCTATCCTAGAGTAAGGATTCATGTGTTGGCTCAGAATAAATGATGTGGTCCTCTGAAATTAGTTTCACTTCACCTAACGCTCATCTTTTTAGAGTAATGAAGGGCAAATCAATGTTGCTTGTCAAGCAAACACTATTAGCGTGAATGCAGCATATGTTAATGCTATTACAACTTAATGATAAATGATCAATAAGTGAGGTAGACACCTACAATACCATCCCAGCTGTGAATTTCCTGACATTTGGTAGACATCCATTAAGTGATTGATGTTTAGTGAGGGACTGGCAGGTCAGCAAATTTCTTGATTTTCTGTGCTTCAAAGGAGGTTCCAGTCTGTGAAAATATGCATTCCAGAGGTAGTTGCATGTCTTCTTAGCACCCCATTAAGTTATTTAACAATTCTATATTCTATGAGTTATGAATTGCTTTCAAAATCAGTTGGAACATAGAAACCATCTGGCATAACTCTCTCATTTCAAATATGGAGGAAATTAAGCTCAAGGAAATCAAAGGACTGCCCAGACCAGAAAATAGGATTCTCGTTTTGAGTTCTGTGTCCTGATACATAAAACACATATAAAGGATGCATTTTCAAATAATTTTAGATGGGACTTCAACATAACATGGAGATTACTTTTTATGGTACTCTCAAATAATTTTGGTTTCATCAAATACACATTTATTAATTGTTTACCACATGACAAACAATCAGGATACTGAAAGAAAATTCTGTGTTTCTTGACTTCAGCAAGCTCACAGTCCAGGCAGGAGATGAAGTGAATAATGGTAACCAGGCAAACTAGGAACAATGGAAATACCAAATAGAGAGGAACAAACTTGGCCAGGGGTTACCATGCAAGGAGAGTAGATGTCATGGAGAAAAGGGATTTGATCTGGGTCAATAAATATGTATTCACTGGATGAAGTAGGAGTGACAAGGGACATGAACCATGACACAAAAATGCAAAATGTAAAAGAAAGGTGTAGCTAATAAATTGATCTGATGACTCAAGAACTTAGTTTTTGCTCAAACTATTAATTTTACTGTTAAAACACTTTTGATTCTTTCTAATGAAGTAAATATTAGAATCAGGGTTAAAAAAAATACACCTCAACTTAAAATTAAAGACTATTTCCTCAAATCTATCTCCCACTCAAATATCTGAAGACACCAGTATTAAAAAAAGTACAATGTAGGGCATTCTCAACCTCCTTGGATTTATCAAATCCTCATATTATAATCCCAACTCAGAAGTCCTCAACCATTGTTTTAATTTGGTCATTTCAATGTTCATTTATTTTAAAAAGATTTAATGCACACTGATCACATGTCAGACACTGATCTAGGTTCTGAGGATACCACAGTGAGTAAGACAACCTGCTTCTGCACTTACAGAGCTCATAGTCAATCAGGGAACTTGGTTCTTCCTGTTCAGTTCAGCACTTCTAATTTCACCCTTTAATTCCTTAAACAAAAATAACTCACAAAAGACTTTGGTTTTGATTAAAATATGTAATCATTATTTTCACCCCTCTTCCTATTGTTCCTCTTCCATTTATCTTCTTTATTAATCTCTTTAAGACACCATCACTACATGTCACTCCCTGTTCAAAAATCTCCAGTATGGCTTTTCTCAGTGAATTTGCGGTCGTTTTTTAATCTCATCTCCCATCTCAGTTCACTGTGATCAACTGTGAACTGAGGATCACAGTTGTGTCAGCTCCTGTTATTGAGTTGAGTGGAACACATGCCCCAGGTTTATTAAGATGGATAAAAATATACAAATTCCTTACACTAACTGCAGCCATGCTTTACCCCACAACTTCCTGTTCAGCTTTATCAACCTCTGACAAGTGTTATTCTCCTACTTTCTACATCAGTGCCTGAAATCTCTTCCATCCCCCTGTTTCTCCCACCTAAAATGCCCCAGTGCTTTTGGACTCTTCCAATTTTCAGCAATTAAATATTTTGTTTTCTTGAAATACTATTCATGTTATTATTTTCATCTCTATTTACCCCAATGGATGAATAGCCGCTGGAGCCATCAGGGCCATGTTTCATTATTCTGTGCATTATCCATAGCACCCAGAAGTAGTGGGCATACAGAGCCCGTACAGGGTGACCTGACCGCGAGAGCTTCGTGCTTAGAATAGGACAGACCTTGATTCAGATCTGGTTTAGAATCTGTCATATCTTGATCTATTCAGGTACTAAAGAATAAAAGAAAATCTATTAAACATTTTTTAAATTACAGCTCTGAGTCTATTAATTTACCAACAAGGGAACACGCAGCATTGAAGAAATTCACTTAATTGCTCACTTAATTGTTCAAGGGATTTTAAGTGCTGGAAGGGGGAGTCAGATGGTAGCCATACCAATTAATCATTGCAAACTAGCATTACAGGTAGAACAGAGAGAGGCCATGGGTCCAACACAAATGTTGAAATCAGTCCCATTGTTCATTGCTTAGGACAGTGTCTTCAGTTAGGTCCAGTAAAGGTGTAGAGTACTGGGATCATTCAAAGTTTATGTTTTCTATCTGCTTCAGCTGTTTAGAGTCTGTTACTGTGAAACACAACAGTGAATTTTGATATCTTCTGGGAAAGTGCTAAAGTAGAAAATTTCCTTTATAAAGGATTGTTTAAAGAAATTTAAAATAGTTCATATGTATGCATTGTCTAGCATATAGTAAACACTTAATAAAATTGTATATGGCATTTTATTATGAGTAATACTTGCTCATTAATTGAGTTTTATATAATGTTTCATTGATTTTTTTGATTTTTTTCTTGAGAGAGATCAATTTGTTGTTTCACATATTTATGCATTCATTGGTTGATACTTGCATGTGCCCTGACTGGGGATCAAACCCAAAACCTTGGAGTTTCAGGACAATGTTCTAACCAACTGAGCTACCCAGCCAGGGCCTTCATTAAATTGATTTTTAGATTGATTCCAAAAGTCATATTCTTGATTTTTTATGATCTCTGAAGAGATTTTGGAGAATGAAAATAACTAAATATATTGATTTTAATAAATATTATGTAAGAGGCTATGTGCCTGAATTGTGGTCCCCCCAAGTTCATACTTTTAAGTCATATCCCTCAGTACTATAGACTATGACTCTGTTTGGAGACAGCACCTTTAACGAGGTAGTTAAGGTAAAATGGGGTTACCCAGGGAGGCTGGGGAGCTAATCCAAAGTGCCTAGTGTCTTTATAAGAAGAGGAGAAGATTAGGACTCAGGCACACACAGAGGAAGGATCACGTGAAGACATTTATCTACAAGCCAGGGAAAAATCAACCTTACTGACACCTTGAGGTTGAACTTCTAGCCTCCAGAATTGTGATAAAATAAATTTCTGTTGTTTAAGCCACCCAGTCTGTAGTACTTTGTTATGGCAGCCTTAGCAAACGAATAGATTTTGGTCCTGGGAAGTGGGGTGCTGCTGTGACAAATACTTAAAAATGTGGGAGGGGGTTGGAACTGAGTAGTGGGTAGAGTCTGGAAGGGTTAAAGATGCATGTAACAAAAGCCTAGATTGCCTTGAAAAGACTGTTGGTAGAAACCTAAACATTAAAGGTGTTTCTGGGAAGGTTTTAGAGAGAAAGGAGAAACGTTATTGGAAACTGAAGGAAAGTGATCCTTGTTACAAAGTGGCAAAGAACTTGACTTTCCTGTGTTCTAATGTTTTGTGGAAAGGAGAGCTTGTAGGTGATGAACTTGGATATTTCACTGAGGAGATTTCTATGAAAGAAGACTATTCAATACCAATCAGAGAAAATAGGAGGAGATGTGGGATAATGAGGACCTGTCTCAGATTTCAGAAAAGCAAGCTTTCTCTAGAAACCTCAGCTGGAAGTCAAGAGAGAAGCTTTAAATTCAACTCTTATCACTTGCACTAACTTTCTGATCCCTTTTTGAAGGAACACTCAAGAATTTGAAAAAGCAGTGTGTTTAAAATCTGTCTCAACTGATGTCCCAAATGACTGGTTAAATACACTTAGCCTTAACTTTAGTTTGAGGCTTGCAAAGACAATAAATCTTATTTATTCATTTATTTTTTTTCTTTCATCAACATTTATCCCTCCACACCTTCCTCCACCTCCCCCTAGTCCCTCCCCATGCAATCACCACACTGTGGCCCATGCCAATGTGTTCCTTTTTTTTCTTACTTGACACACTCTTCTTGTTCTTATTAACTGTTAAAAAGTGAATGAAACTGTCCTTAGGCAAGAACTTAGTTTATACTTTATCACCTTGCAAATAAAATTGCTGGCCTGGTTCTCACCTACAACGTCATTATTCTCAGACCAGAGACCAGAGACCAGGAAGACAGTTTAGTCTGATTTTAAGCAACCTGTATAATACTGAATCTTTGAACAAATAAACCTCTGTACCTTGTTCCCAGGTCATTATTTCAAAGGCTTTCATGACTTATTTAGGAGGAGGTGATAATTCTGAACCAGATACACAAAATATATTAAATAAGAAGTTCAAAACCCCAAATCCTTTCCTTATAAACCATTGAGAGATTGGGAGCAATCTTTATCTTTTTCTAGATTTTAATTTACTTAGCTAATTTTTTTACATCTGAAAGCGCTCTTTTCTACTTTTGGCCTGGAATGTATACTCCACACAAAAAAACTGATGTTAAGAGGGTAAGATGTCATAATCTTATGGAAGAACAAATAAGAAAGTAACTAGCATTAAGGGACCTCTGGGACAACATCAAGTTTAGCATCATCTGCATCGTATGGGTATCAGAAGGAGAAGAGAGAAAGAAAGCAAGGGATTGTGAACCCACTTGAAAAAATAATGACTAAAAACTTCCCTAACCTGATGAAGAAAAAAACACACACAAGTCCAGGAAGCACAGGGTCTTAAACAAGAGGAACCCAAAGAGGCCCACACTAAGACACATCATAATTAAAATGCCAAAGATTAAAGACAAAGAGAGTATCTTAAAAGCAGCAAGAGAAAAATAGTTATCTACATGGGAGCTCCTAAAAGATTGTCAGCTGATTTCTTAGCAGAAACATTTCAGGCCACAAGGGATTGGCAAGAAATATTCAAGTGATGAAAAGCAAGGACCTACAACCAAGATTACCCAGCAGAGCTATCATTTAGAATTGAAGGACAGATAAAGAATTTCCCAGACAAAAAGCTCAAGGAGTTCATCACCACCAAGGCAGTATTAAAAAGAATGTTAAAGTTCTTTAAGAAGAAGAAAAAAAAAGATAAAAAATATGAGCAATGAACAATGAAAGGGAAATAAATATATGTATATCAACAATTATTTTAATGCAAGTGGATTAAATGGTCCAATCAATG